GGAAAAACAAAGTGACTTTCACAATGAATGAAAGTTGCAATAAATAGTCCACCTGTTAATCTCAGTTTGCAATCAATTCATTCGAACAATAAATCACTTGAACTAATTCACTGGAAGAAGAGACTATCTTAACATCTAGAGAGGTGTCAAGCTGCAGGCTCAGATACAAACAAACAAGTGCAATACATACATGAAATTTATAACAGTAGAGAGCAAGTATTTATGAAGCCTTCACACCTCCCTGGGGCCCAGTAGTGCTGGATGAGGAGCAAGCTGGTTTGCAAAGGCAAAAGGCAAAAGCACATTTTGTGTAGTTCTTCTGTTCTTCTTCTTGCAGGCCCACTCTAGGAACAGAAACTGCATTTCTGGCCCATCCTGTCCTCCTGACCCTAGGCAAGATCTGAGAGGAGAAAACAATTGCAATGCTGAAATTTTGTAGATTGCATCCAGATTTTCTCACTTTTAAGTTTGAATTCAAAGCACTACTTAAGATAAAATGCTCTGATTCAAATAGGTATTAGTAACGTGCATTGAATATGACAGTGAAATTGATGGCCTGTGGTAAAAAGGACGGTAATCAAGGCAGGAGCAAGGATCCATCAGGATGTAAAATTTGTGGGACGGATCCTTAATTAGTTTGATTAGAATGAAAATATATGCTGGGTTACGCCAGATTTATCAGCAAACCAGAATACTTTAAGCGAAATGCAGTTACAGCTGTCATGCTGTTGACTTCTACCCAAAAAGTTTCATTAATCAGATTCTCCTAGAAACACCTCGAGCTGGAACATGCAACTGAACAGGGAGCTTCCGATGCAACACAGCACGTGTGCGATTTTTGTGCAGCCTTGAGGTTGGTGATTAATGATACAACTCTGATGTATTTTTACCTTTGTATCCTCCAAGAAGAGGTGAATTGCTGAAGAGGTGCAAGTGTTTGGCCAACTTCTACAGAAGCAGTAACAGTATCTTCATCTGTGTCTTAGAAAACACAAAATACTTTTTAAAGAATAACTCGATTAAATCAGATTCATTTCCAGTGTAATTACTATAATGTAATAGGCAAAAACAAAATGCAGAAAGTTATTAGTAAACCTTTTTTCAAAAATTAAAGTAAAATGACAAGAAAAATCTCCCCCGTTTTACTTTATGTTATTTGTTCTCCTGACATGTTGGGCATCTCTTTGGTTTTCAGTTTTAAAAAAAAACATTCCCGTTCATAGGTTAAAAACTAAAAAAATAAACACTAAAATACTCTTGTGAAATACATGTTAGTGTTGGGCTTTTCATGTGGAAACAATTCCAGGTTACTTATGTCAAAATGAAAACACCTGAGAATGCTTAAAAATTCTCACAGAAATAACCAGCAATTTTCAACTAGATTTAGCTATTCAAGTCAGCAGCCTCAAGAAAAATAATCCTACCAGCACAGAAACTGCTTGGGAGAGATGCACTGGAGTTTCAATGGAGAAAAATTCGGATTTTCTATCTTGAGAAAAAACGCAATTTTCCTTTTTATTTTAGTGACATCTCATATTTGCTCTAAATGTAATCCCCCACCACAAAGAAAGTATCTCTTTTCCAGGAACATTAAAAACTGTAATCCAAAACGATCCTATAAGTCTGAGAAGAAGAAGCTGTAATTTGCCTCTTCGTTTTGCAGGATGTGGTGCAGCATCACAGATCAACCCTCTCAACCTCATTCCCCATGTTGAGACTAAACGTCATTGCTAGAAATTCAAAAGTTGATGAGAGAAAAGGAGAATATTATACCATTTTGAAGGCAGAGGAGAGAAATTCTTCAGTAGAAAGCATAATTTTAGTCATTTTGCTTCCATAACTTTTTTTTTAGCCTCAGAAGATTATATCATGCATATAGGTGTATTGTTCTCATTTCTTCTCCTTACAGTTGCAATTAGACTTGTAAACACTAATTTGTATTTAATTTTTGCAACCAACCTCTGGTGGGAAGAATATAAATAGACTGATTTGGATGTCATCAACTCTTTTTCTGCCTTTGGAATTCCACACAGAAGCACTCAGTGCAGCAAGACATGGCCATGCACTAAGTCTCTTTCTCATGTTCTTTTTTTTTGTTTGTTTTCCTGGCATTTTCTTGAATTTTCTCACATGTTTAAACAGTGTCTGGTGACTGAAAGAGCTAAATATCAAGGGAATGGCAGCAAGACTGCTCACTGGAGGAAATTCCCGACTGGCACAGAGCTCAGCCAGGTTGCCTACATCTCAGGACTTGGGCTGCCTGTGCAAAACTCCATCAGCCCAGGAGAAAACGCTGCAAACTCCAATAGATTATCTGTCTTTTAAATTGATGTCGCTGCTTGGGAATTATTGGTATTGATAACTTCTAACTGCTTCTCTTTCTGCAGTACCAGATTTCACTTAACTGAAGCAATTCTCACTCAGTCCTGTCACAGACACACACACAAATTTATACTGGGTTTACACGAAGCCTGGAAGACTATTTCCAGTGCATGTTTTACTTACTTTCAATTTCCATAGGATTTGCAAACAGAACATTTATTTCACATGGCCTCAGAGCATGGGCGTAAACTGCAGTCTTGCTTTATTGTAAGTCACAAGCAGACAAGGTTACTTTTCAATACGCATTTATTTGCATGTTTCCATGTATTCTTATTTGTCTTTGGCTCAAATATTGGCCTCAGCTTGCGTGAAACAAAAGCCCAGCCATTTTACAGAAAACTAGCTGTATGCTTATTTAAAACAGCCTGAACCAGTGTGATATCTGGCTCCTGTTCCTCCTGAAGGCTGACGCGGGACTCCCGAGCCCTCAGACTGCGACAGCCCTGTGGGGAAGCAGCCTGGTTCTGCGGGCTGAACGCGAGGGCTGTGCCTGTGTCTGAAAATCAAACTTTTTCTCTGATACAGCCACAGGGTGCAAAAGCTGTGCGAGCCTACTCTGAATTCCTCCTAAGCATCAGGTTTTTCATTTTTTCCCTCAAACTGAAGACCGAATTAGGAGAAAGGTATTCTCTTTGTTCATTGAGTGTTTTTGTAGCTATCTCTTAGGTGAAAAAATAGCACAAAGGAAAGGACTTTGCCACTTTAGCTGCTTTGATTCAGTGAAGGAAATGCTAAGTGCGAGTAATGCCAGCTGTAATCAGACAAGCCCTTGTACGTGCTCCAAAATGCCTTGAAGTTAAATGTGCAGTGCTGAAGTAAGACTTTGTGAAGTTCAGCAGCCAAACAAGAAAGGCAGTCTGGCTCTGCTGACAGCATTGACAACAAGCCTTGTGGGACGTGCAAGACGTTTGCAAATCCAGTGGCTTCACCAGAGAAGGCTACGCCACCAATCAGTTCAGCAGGCTACTGGATTCTGTGGGAGTCACATTTTTTTTTTTTTTCCAATACTGAAATATTCTCCAATATCAAAAAGAATTCATTATAGCCATAATTCCAGTCTCAAGAGATTAAAAAAAAAAAACACAAAGTGAACGTTCACCAGAAAATTTCTTTCATGAGTCATTTATTTGAATTTATATCATGTCCACAAAAATAGAAACAGTCTTCAGAACCATTCTGTGATACATAGTCTCCAAGTTGAGATTTACAATGGCAATAGAGAAATATCTCATGTGGGGTTTTTTCCACACGTGTATGTTGAAGAAGCTGTGAGAAGCAAGCAAGAATTATGCATTTCACCATGGAAAGAAAGACAAAAATGTAACTAAACATGTTAATGTCTCTGTAGTTCACCAGCCTACATATAGTTTCTCAGGATGTTTTAAGAGTAAGTTGCTCTAACTTTGTGCAGAAAATAGAGTTGGAGGGGTGCTCACGCTTACACCTCTGACATTGATTTGCATGTATCTATATAAATATAATATACTTTCCTATCTAGAGCTTTATACATATGAAAAATTATGGTACAATAAAAATCTATACACATGGTGCTACCAGTTGAGCAGCTGCTAACTTATAGGATACATCTAAAAATATGATTGCTCAGCTTCTGAAATACAAAATAAAAGAGCAATCAGAAATGCTTTTTGTTTAAATAGTAATTTACATAAACATTCATCTCTTCATTTTCTCCATTTGCTTAGGCCTTGTAAAAAGATTCCCTTTGGTTGGTTGCATCTGTCCTTGGCAAGAACTGCAGATTTAAACAGTCCTTTGTATTTGTCTTAGGCAAGGGTTAATACATTTGTGAAACAGAGTAAAAGTTGGCTGGCTCCTATTCCAGGTTTGTGCTATTGTAATGCTGAATGACAAGTACGTAGTCTGAAAAGTTCTACAGAATGGGAACATAAACTTGCATGATTTCCACTTGCTGAAAGACCTGACAGTAAAAGACTGGCATTTGTACTGCAACCCAGCATAAATCACTATCCGGATTTATACAGTGGGCTTTAAGCTACTTATTTTCAAAACCTTTACAAGCACGTTTAGCTGCTGCTCAGTAAAAAAGGGGTGAGACATCTATATTACAAGTTCAATGAATTTCCCAGTAAGTTACTGAGAGATCTGGTAGAAAGCAGTTTTATGAAGGTATGATAATCGGTAAGACATGAGTTAACCTGAGATCTAGCACAACAGCATCACCATGGCCATCAGCTATACCTTTTTGCTTCCAGAGCAAGAAAGGATGAAATCTGGGTGCCAGGGGATTTGTGACGGTGGCACTGATTTCAGGTTTTCACTCAAGGAGTGGATTGGAATGTGAAGGGGGATAAGCCTGGAGTACCGTGGTGATGGTTGGACTAGATGATCTTAGTGGTCTTTTCCAACCTTAATGATTCTATGATCCTATGAATGGACTGCAAATAACTGTGGGGCTGAGGGGGTGGAAGGTGACGATCTTTGGAACAAAGTGAAGGTTCTCTCCTCATCTGGTGGCATGGTTCTTGCTGTATGAACTACAAAATGATGGTAAATGGAGTGGAATGTAGCCAATCAAGCTGAAAAAAGAGGAAATTAGTGAGTTGCGCAAAAGCAAGCAAGGCTGGCACAGTCAGTCCACAAAAAAAAAAAAAAAAAAAATACACTGAGAAAAAAAAAAAAAAGCTTTGAAGTACAGAGGCTTATAACTTGATTTGTAAATCAGATGAACCTCTCTCCACCCAGGTTATGAAAAGTAAAAATTGTCATGTACAGGTAATTGATGGTGACAGCTTTGGCACACACACTGTAGGAGGTGGTGCTATTGTTAGACATGCCCTACATGTGTAGATAACAAGCTAAGCTCTTATGTTTGCCTACAAATTGTTGCTAAGCACATTTGATGCCATTTATATTGATACTTCTGTTGTCTCTTGGTTTCATCTGCATTTCCTTTTAAGACAAACAAAAAATGGAATAGCTTACAACCTCCAGCTGTGCCCTGCTGAATTTCTGCCTAATTTGGATTCAAATCCAAGAGATGCCTGAGGAAATGGATATTGGATGGATTTAATATTCCTTTTTCTTTTCCCCTGGATTTTTCAGCCCCTGTAATTGCCATTGCTTTCCAAGTTCCCAATCCTTGAAATAGTGAATAGGAATCGATCTTTGTTTCACCTCTGTTAACATCGCCAAGAAAATCCTGTTTTTCAACTCCCACATCTCACGTACTCAGTGACCTGGTGAAGAACTGCCTCCTCTAGATTAATTTCCCCATGTTCTGCCTGTGCCTGGTGCCAGCAGGAAGCATTCGTGAGTTGGAGAAAGAAAAAGCTGCCAATGAATGTTCAGTCTCTGCATGGCACAGATAGAGACAAGCCCAAAATACTGACCCAGACCCAGATACAAGTGTCCCCAATGTCTCATTGTCTTTATGTTGCTGGGTTTTTCTGCAACAAAGAAAGAAAAAAAAAAAAAAAAAAAAAGCAAACAAATACAAAGAGCTAGACTTGAGAAAAGCAAAGAGAACTCATATTTTACATGCAACTGAGTTTTACATTTCTCAGAGGTTATTTGAAAATAAATGTCCAAATGAGACTTGACCTGCCAGGAAGATCATATAACTTGAAGGAACTGGGGAGACTTCTCCCTCGTGCCATTGGATTAATAGATATTCTGCTTGCCCCTCTCCTCATTGCTTTATGTGTCGTGGATTTGAATGCTCTAGTTAGGAATATAAGATAGGGGAAAGTATTATCTCTACTGGGAAACTGGTGCTTTTTGGAAAGTTTGCCCAGTCAGAAAACAGTCATCTTCTCCTCTAATGGCTTTGGTCCCTGAGATTGACTCTCTTCCTGCAGTCCACTTCAAATGCAGTTTAAGTCAGTTATAAAATAGCCCATTTCATGGTGTGAGCTGAATGCCCTTTGGAGGTTAGGGAAGAAACTCAGTACCAGGCAAGGTCCAGTCCTAAACTTCTGCCTACAAAAGAAGGTCCCAGTGGTGGAGGTAGTATGGGTTCTCCCAGTAAATGCTCACACCCACCTTGATGAGCTACTGCTCTTACAGCCGGGACAAGCCAATTGAAGGGGAACCCACTGTCTGGATTAATAAAAGCAACTGGAAGCCAGCAAAGTGTTGAAACATTCAGAAATTGGAGGGAAGGAACAAGTGATATTGGCCAATGAAAGCTATAAACCAGCTGGTTATGGAAGAAGACTACTTGGCTCAGAGATGCTTTACAGTTTCTCCACTTACAGCTGCCTTCCAAAGTGGATTACCATACTGCCTAAATGCCCTAGTATTTTGCTCCTTCCCTTTCTTTGCATGACTCGCAGCATTGTCATAAATCACATTATGCCTGTATGACTTAACAAAAAAAAAGAAAGAAGAAAAACTTCACAAGAAGGGAAAAATAATCATAATTCTATAATGTTATCTTATATCACAGAAAACTGTGTACATTTTTTCCCCATACAGGACATACTTCAAATAAAATAATTTTAACGCCAACAATGATAATGTTCCTTCTTCCCGACAGAAGTAGAATTGTTTTTTCACCCCAGTTTGGTACATAAATATAAGAAAATAGTCTTTGAATATTTACATCCAGGTGTTTTAAGTGTTATTTCTTGAGATCCTTAATTCTCATTTTCTCTCCAGCCACGGGCATTCTTTCCAAATTTATATACTAATCTGCGACCATCCACACGCTCCAGAATTTCTCGTTTATAATAGTATCTGTTAAAGGAAACATGTAGAAAAGATTTAAACCAAATTCCTCTACAGTCTCAGAAGACCACAGTCAAATTGGGAATCACAAAGCTATCTGAAATGTCTTTAGTTTGTTTCATTTTATGTTATTTTATTATATTTTATTACACCAAAGGTTGATCTAACTGAAAGACAAGGAAGAAAAAAAATCATTGTGTCTTTTTTTACTTCACATTAACCCACTTACAAATTTGAATCTCACCATTTTTCAAGTTCCACAGTATTGCCCTATTCATTACACGCTCTGATTAAATTTCATCTTGTTTTGGTTTTTTGGCGGTGTTTTTTTTTTTCTCCTAAATAAGCCTGCATCTGAAATCTGACCAGGAAAGAATCTAAAATTCCATTTTGAAATACAGTTTGAACTTCTATGGATTATGGGAAATTCTGAGAATGTTAAACCAACTGGCAAAGAAGGTCCTCACAGAGGACCTGTAAGCCAGTTTTAAGATAAAGGCAGGGGAATGTTTATGTTCTGAACACTGGTGCAAAAAACATGTTCTCTGTAATCTGAAACTTCCCAGTTCAATAGCACGTGAACTTTCAGCTTGCTGTAACCATTCTTCCTTTCTACAATCAAATATTTTTATTGGTTGACAGTGTGGACAGAAACAGAATCTACCATGTATAAAATATATTGTAAATGCTATATAATATGAATATTATAGTATACAGACACAGGAGGAATAAATTAAGACAAAGCAGAATGCAATGTTACAACCTCGAGATCAGTGGGAAAGACTTCGTTGTTGCAAAAAATAAAAAAAGGAACTGCTGCTGCTTGCACTTCATTTTTAAAAGTAACCAGATTCTCCATTCAGGCAATTTCTTCATGTGCACTCACCTCATAGCCCGGCTGAGTTTCTCATAAGTCATGCTGCTGTTGTTCTTCTTCTTCCCCCAGAGCTGAGCTACAGCTTCGGATTTTAAAAATCTGAAGACACCTTCTGACCGGTCCTCCCATTTGATTAATCCTGGGTATTTCTCAGGGTTAAGAAGAATATCTCGAATAAATTCCCACAGATGAGTTCCTCGAGGGTCTGAAAGAGGGAGGGTGCAGAAGGAAGGAGTTTAAGGAGCTCTCTGGGCTATGTTCTTTATTATGCCGTTTTCTTACGGTGTGTCATCTATAAGCAAGGACCACTCAGTGAGGATGGGCCATGCTTTGTGGACTGCAGAACCACCACCTCAGAGCTACACATGTGAAAACATTGATGGCTTTTACACCAAGGCTAGAGCTGAGCATCAGCCTTCGGAAGGCTGAGCCCTGAGGCAAAAGGATGGATAAGAGCCACAACAACCAGGGGAGGTAGAGACCAAACCATCCCCTGCTGCCTGAACTAAACACCACTTTGGGACTGAACATGTTTAAGTCTTCCCCTCACCTCCTCCCTTTTTCCTGATATTTTTCCTGATATTCTTCTACGGCATGGCAGCATGTAACCTGGTGTTATTGTGCAACTCCTGAAACAGCCAGCAGAACTGTATGGAGGGCACTGAAGTGCCATGCATTTAAAACAGATAAACAGAAGGCAAATGAAATACAATGCTGTTCCATGTGTGCAAGTGTTTGGTCTCAAGTGTTCTAGGTAGACTTCAAGAAGAAGGTGTATACTGGCTAGAGGAATAGTGATAAAAATGGATAGCCAAAATTGTATAGGAAAATAGCATTAAAAGTTTGACTGCAATGGCAGAAAGGGCAAAAACAGATATCCAAGTTCAATATGGAGGCCCCATTTAAGCACAACTCTAATCCAGCTATTGCAGAGATGACACGAGAAAGCCCACATAGAAGAAGGAAAACAAACATACAGTCAAACAAGTGAGATGTGGTATATGAATGAAGAGTAACAGTGACAAGGTGGGCCAGGAAACAGTTGTCCTTTGGTCTGCTTTCAAATGTATGTAAGGCTTTGGACCAATGCAAGAAGGAAACAACCTCAGCAAAGATGAAGTGTTAAATAGAAACTGGTATACAGGTAACATCAGTATTTTTCAGTCAACTAATCCAGTATTTTTCTTTGCTATGATAACTGCTTTCTAGAGGCAACCAAATGTGGTGGATCTAGTCTATCTGGACATCAGCAACAGACTGTATAGTTAAAGGTACAACGACTAATGATGAAACTGGAAATGTAGGGGATTAGCCCAGCATGGCAAAGTAACCTTTACTTTATGCCAAGACTATAATGGGGTTCTTCTCAGGTTCGTCTTCAAACCATTCCTACTTAATCTCTTCATTAGCAATCTTGATACACACACACAACACCACAAAAAAAAGTCTGTGTGCAGATAAAAGTTCTGGAGTTCTGAATGAGCAAAGTCACAGAGCAGGATAAGAAGAGAAGTCATGAAGGAAAACTAATCCGGAGACTACAGAAACAGGATTAAATTGAATACTGCAATGCACATCAGAGGACAAATACTAATATGCTCTACTATAAGCACAGGATGAAAAAAAACGTATGCAAGTTGTTTTCAGGTTTGAAATCCCAGTAATATGCATTAAGAGAATGGTGTCCATGAATCACAGATATGGTAATCTGTCTTCAGACTCAGGTTGAATCAAAACTAGCAGGAAAATAGGATGAGGGGAGCAGAAAGACTGCCGTATCAGAAGAAAAGGCAGCTGTAGGAGTAGGGGCAGGTGTTTGCTCATGATGGCATGCATTAAAAGCTCTGGGAAGAGATGCAGAGCTGCATCTCTGGCATTGCTGCACCTAGCAGGCACAGGCACAGCAGGGCCTGTGTACAGACTTTCCTTATTTAGTTCATCACCTCCTTTGTTATCCCTATATTCCAGATCCCCAGCTCAGCTCAACGAAGGGGGGAGGAAACTGAATTCTGGTGGTTTCCCTCTGGGCTCTTACTGATAAAAATAATTAGAAAAGTGCAAAACTACTGCATCAAAAATAACATGAGCAAACAGCACCAGAAACAGTGAGATCCTTGGAGAATTCTATCAGAGTAACCATCTAACTAGCTCTGCTTTCAAAATGAACTCGGAATGCTCCCTTTTCCTTCCCAATGGGTATCTACTCTTCATGCGTTTCTTTTCCCTCAATCAAACAACCACTATAAACCAAGGATGTTATAACCATTATAACCATGGACTTACTGTGTTTCTTGGTGTGGGACTTTGGGGTATGATCTTGTGTTTTTTTCACATCTGAAGAATCTGTAGAGAGGAAAATGAAGCCTATTTGTAAATTTGATTAAAGGTTTTCCATTGACTAGCAGGTTGAAAGAAATAAAACCACAAAAAAGAACGAATATCTCTTTTAAAGATAATCATTTTTCAGAAGGCAATCTAAGGGAGGAGGAAGGGGGAGAGTTTTGTTTTCTGTACTGTATGGTAATCAGCACACTTCACAAAGAGACCATTGATGAATAAAGAATGAACGCAGAGGTAAACATTTGGCTTTTGAAACCTACATTAGATTAACAAATACCTCACCCCATGCTATGTGTGAGAGAGAGAAAAATAAGAGAATCAAGTCTATAAAAGGAAGCCTGAATTGTCCCATTATGTCTTAGTCTTTGCAGAAGCATGTATCTTTGGGGGCTTATTTGTTTCCGAAGAGATGATCTAATGTGAAATATATGCGCTGGTACCGATGCACAGAACACCTACCTGACTAAAACATAATGAACTGGCACAGCACGGTTGTTTGGGGGGCAGGGAGCGGGACTGCACTGGTAGGAGGTTTTGGCAGCTGGACGTGCATATATTGTTCCATGGCTCGCAGCCACAGAAACAAGCCATTTCTCATTGATGGTGCTTTATCACCTGCAGCCAGCCCCAGGAGGAATCGGATTTCTGGCACAAATGTTTCTTCAGAAACCAAGAAAAAGAAAAGTTCTGTCTGTTCCTCGCCGTCCCCCACCTGGCAGCCTGACTGCATCCCGCTCTGCAGCTCCAAGGTCTCACAAAATCTGCGGGACCGTCCCGAGACGGAGGCCCTCCTCTATTTGCTTTTCGGCCTGCTTCGTGCCTGAATGCCACAAAGCAAAGCTGAAGGTCCCACGCACGTTTTCCCAGCTTCTATGAATGCAGGATTATCATACTTTTCATGGAAACGGGACATTTGCATGTGCAAATGACTCACAGGAAATATTCATTTGCATAGAAACTTGTTGGATTTGCACAAGCAACTGCAATAACTGCATGTGAAAAGGTAGATGCAAAGCTATTCACACAAGTCACTTTATTCATACATAACTGGATATGTACCCCGAGCAGGGCAGAAAGGATAAGTCCAACCTCCCCTGCTCTGAGCTGACATAATTACTGTCCTTGACCCCCTGAGCAGCAAATGTGCTCTGAGTCATTTTGCCTTCCCACTCTCAAAGAGCAGGAACCAGCCTGAACCTCACTCAGCTTGGGGGGAAAAAGTAAAATGAGGCCTATTTCACTGCCTTTCCTCAGATTACGATCCCCCGATGTTATTAAAAGCCTGTGGGAACTCCTGGTGAGGACAGCAGGACCAGGCCCTTTATTTGCCCTCTTATTTAAATCCTTTCCATTTTAAAATCCCACAGTTTGCTCGCAAAGGTTTGTTATACTCTGTTTAGCTGGGGATTTATTCTTGGAGATTCAGTTGCCTTCTGCCTGGCTGGTGATTTACTCTGGGTTTCAGCTGTGTACACAGCCTCTCGCTCTGCCTCCCTCTCATGGAGACCGGTTTCAAACACGCTGTGTCGGGAGGCTGGGGCCTGACAGACGAAAAGAGTTACAATGCAGTTTCAACAAAGCTGTCTTGCAAAACTTGTGACAAAAGGTTGCAGGGTATTTGCATATGATTCAGGAGTGAGCCATATTCTTTACGGGATATACAAATTTAGTTTTTACAGGAGGCTGTGCCCTTGGCGTGCCACCCTTGCTCTAGGCTCAAGCAGTCAGCAGGTAAACACACCGCGCCAGGAGCTTGACAGGTCCCCAGTCCCACCAGAGCGCTCCGAACTCCTGGCAGCCATCTTAGCAGAGTGGGTGGAGGCGGCGGCGAAAGCAAACATAGTGGGGGTTTTGGTGGTGGTTGGCTGTTTTTTTTTGTTTTTTTTTTTTAAGGTTTGGTGGTTTTCTTTCTCAAGTTAGGTTTTCTCTCTCTCTTATTAAATCAATTGCCAAATGCATGCATTTAAGCCACACGTCCCAGTAGTAAGCCCGGCGGCGCAGGGAGGCAGGGGCGCGGTGGGCACAGGGGCAGTCACAGCTCGACAGCCCACAGGGCTCTGCGGAGACAGTGCCTGTGAGGCCACATCCCCGCAGCACACCTCCCTCATTACCCCACCACTTCTACCTGTCTCCCTCAGGCCTATCTGTCTGAAAGCCTTCTAAGACGACCGTGCCTTTCCTTCCCCCTTTCTTGCTGCCTCATGACCTCAGATTCCCTTTTCCCTCCACCTTGCTCTTGCCTCCATCCCGCTGCCTGCAGCAGGATGTGCCCTGCAGAGCACCCCGACATGTGTGCCCTGCCCGCAGTTTCAATGGGCGCTACATCAAATGGGTTTGTGCACTTTTTCCTGCCCTTTAGCAGACAGATCATATCTCTTCTGTGGCCTCGTGGAGCTCTGAGAAGGGTGAAATAGTGTGCTGGGCTTGCCTGGGGACAGGCTGGGCTGGGAGTAGGCAGGGGGCGCTGGGCCTGCCCTACAGTGCCCAGCGGCTGCCCCCAGCATGCCCCCAAACCTACTTGACATGAACGACCAGCTCAGCAGGGAACTGCAGCCGCTTCTAGGGAGGAATATGACAATTATTTGCCCACACTTGGCTACCCCACAGAAAAGCAGATGCCTGAGCTGGTACATCTTGTCTCTCTGACACTAACATCTTCCCCTTTGACTAAGTCACTTTAAAAGATATGTGGAGGCAGCAGATTGTTTGATCTTCTTTGTCTTGACAGAGGGAAGAGAGAAGCTATGGTAATGATGATAGCTAAAAGAGTTGTCAGAATCAGTACTGCTTGGTATAAAAATGACTGGAGGCTCAGATTCAATCCTACAACAGAAGACCACAGAGACTATTATATGTCAGTACTTTTGGGAGAAGCAACAATTAACAGTATAATTACAAGTTCCTTACCAGGAGGCTGGTGACTCGGTGTCGACATGGAGATTTGAGCACGACAGAACGTTTTGCTGTCCAATAGCTCTGGAATTAAAATGAAAACAGTTAAAGTAATGTCCTCTTGCAACCACAGAGCTACTTCAGAAAAGCAAGAAGTATAGTGAAGGTAGTTACCTACTGTGCTACCATAGCCACTATCATACAGGTAGTTGTCTTCTTTCCAGGACACCATTAACGATGGATCTGAAGGTGAAGAACAACGAGGGAAATTAGATCAACAAAAGGACGTAAGGATGAATACAGACAGGCAAAGCAGTAAGAAATGTGCAGAAGGTACAGTGAACTGAGAATTGAAGGGGCTAAGTGAAAAATTACTTTCTTTCTCTGAAACTGTGGATTAGGGCTTGCATACTCAGGCAAACATACAAGCACTGACTTACAAAATAATGTAGCCGCCTTTTCCTTTTCCTAAGACACCATTTATACCTGCCCTGGAATGAATTTTTTTTATGTCAGAACAGCTCTAATTCTACCCTAATTCTCTAATTCTATGACAGTTCTTTGGTGCCATGAAAATGAAAGTGCTCTCAAATATCTAGTAGAACAAGAGAATGCTTATAATTAGTATTTATTTCTATAATAGTGTAACTCGAAAGTCCCCTCCAAGACAGAACTTCATGTGTAAGCACATGGTGAGAAACATCAAAGCAGAACCATGTTATTCTGGCACGTAAGTCCCCACCCTTAACCCAAAAGCCACTGGTAAGCTTAAAGAGTAATACGACTTAGTGACCTTCTGGTCAGGTGGATCAATACATGCAGAAGTATTGTCTTTATAAGCCGTACAGCGAGCAGGAAATTACTCTTTTTACAGTGCATTTTTGAGGTTAGAAGCTTTAAACACTTATTTTTCTTTTGAACTCAAGCTCAGAAAGGATGAGATCTGAAGTTCAAATCCATGTTTCACTTTTTTTTTTTTTTTCATGTTCACGTAAATGGGGGGGAAAAAAAGAGTTATAGCTAAATAAGCATGGTTGGCTGAGTTACCACTTATGACATAGGAATTTAGCAGGCATGCTAAGTAATAGCTGCATGTTTGGGCACCCAGAGCTTGTGTTCCTACAATAGCACACACCCTTTGCTTGTTTGGACACCTGATCTGCCCAGTGTTGCCTCTGAAAACAGGCCTTAGCCAGCCAGTACGTGGGGAGACAGCTTGTCTTCACATTTCATCCTATTTCAGTGCCTACAAGGCAGGCTTTCCCCCCTAAACCACCAGCCCATCCCTGCCAGCTCATATGGAGTCCCAGTCTGCACCAGTCCACCCTACCAGCAGGCACAGTGAGTAGCACTAGTCAATGGTGGGCTTTGATCTCTCCAGGATGTGTGGCAGAGGTACTGTGCAGAGCCCTGTGTATCTCTACTTGAAGGAGAGACTAACATTATATCAGGATCTCATAAATCAGAACTTGAAGAATTACTGTGGTTTCTTATAGGGCAAGCATCAAGGCTGCTGCATGCGTGCCACCCATACCATGCGGGCACGGGCGGGGAGCCGACTGCAATGCTTGCTTGCTGCAAGAAGGTGAAGAGTGTCCCTGACTGGGGAGGCTGTGCTCCTCCAGGATCACTGAATGAATTGGCTGGCAGTATTTGTCAGAGACACCTCACACTACAAGTCTATACTCCCGCTGTCAGGAAATACTAAAATGTGGCTAATGAATACATCTACAGAATAAGATGCTGGGACCAGTGTGATAGACAGTGTTCAGATATAGACGGAGCTGTCCTGGTAAAAGGAACTGGCACAATAATTGTGCCCAGAGTGCACTGAAGTTCTTTTCCTGGAGAAACAAGGCCCAGGCAGGAAAAGCATCTAGCTACAAATACAATGGAATAAGGGACTGCTACAGGAAAAATGCAGACGTATGCTACCACGAATTTCAGTTTAACTGAAACGTGAAGAAACTGAAATGTAACATTTTAAATTTTTTACTCAAATATGTTTGGTTTGAAAATTTCCTCACATTTCAAAGCACTAACAGCACTTCATCGCAAAATATTTTTCCTCTTTAGAAAAAAAAACAACTTAAATTTCTGTGAACTGTTTTGCAATCTGCTGAATGAAGCAAAGAATGATGTTCTCTACACAGCTGCACTCTCTGACCACTGCACACTATACTAACTCTGAACATCAGTGTAGGCAGGTGGTGTTACAGTATTCTCCCAGCAAAAGTGGCCACATGAGAAGGTATTTTGGTGCTACCTGAAGCTTCAAAAAAATGATTGACTGGTACCTGTGTTATCTCCTTAAATCTGTGTGAAATGCCATTGCAATTAATGCTGTTGTGATCTCTCTCTCTCTTGCAATGGACAACTTCCCCTTTTCCCCATAAAAAGATCAGTTACCCAGCAATTACTTACCTGTTTGCTCTGTCTTCACAATGACGTTATGAGATTGGTACACGTCACTTCCACACTGACCTGCAAGAAAGCATATGGCAGATAGGACATGCAACAAGAAGCAGAGAAGAGTTAAAGATACAGTTCCAAGCACAAACCATTGCAGTTGAGCCGGAGAGCTAATTTTGGAGTGGAATACAAACCTTTCCCCTTGATCCTTCTGCCTTATACGTGACATAAGCAATGATACAGTAATATAGTCAGTAAGGCGTTAGCAATATAGCAAACAAAGCAAATGAGATTTGCCAGGTGTGTTTCAGAAGTGGCTTCTGAAGATTCGAAAATTCAGACAATCGTATATGCGTCTCTATCCCCTGTGTAGCATACTGTCTATTTACCATTCCATTTTAGGTGCTGAAGGTTGCTATAAAGCAACTGCCCTGCTGTCCCAGCTGCCTGCGTGAATTCCTGCAGACTCATGCTGCACAGATGTTCCCCGTTGATATCAAACTCCTGGAAGGGTATGCAGTTGGCATCCAGTTGGTTGGTATCAAGGAGATGCTGCAGCCATTCCCAGACCTGAAACTTCGTCCAGTACTGAGGATGTATTTCGTGCCACTGGGTTCCATAGAAACTGCTGGACACTGGAGAAGAAAATGAGTATTAACTGGCTCTGTTAACACCATGGGATTATTTTGAGGACAGAAAAGTTACATACATAAATTTCACGCCCTGGAAGTCTACAAACTTAGACTCTTTTCAGTCTTTAACACTAGCTCAGTAGCTACTGCTGGAGAAAAACATCTTTTTGTTGTTGTTGTTTTTTTTACTCAGTTTACCAATTAAAAATGAAATATATTACTTTACACCTCTCTTGTTGAATAAGTAGAAATGAATTTAGTAATGTTGGCTAAATATACCAAAAATTCTTTGGAGCAAGATAAACTGCAGAAGTACTGTCACAAAGGAGTGTTGATCTGTGCGTGGGAAAAGTGTATTAGTGCATAAGAAAACGATGGAAAAGCCTTGCAAAATCCACATAATGAGCAGTGGAAATTTTGTTTGTATAAAGATTGAATATGAATTGTGGAATTCAGCCAACGAACATTAAAAACAAGGCACTCTTAAATTGCTCTAACATAAAAATCTATCAGTACGGCCTACAATATCAGGGCAGAGCTGACCTTCTAACAAATGCATGTTATCTTTGTAGTCTGGTAAGATGATTTCTGAATATAATTGTAAAAGTCATTTTGAAATTAAGGGAACTACCTGATTTTCTTCTTAGGATGTCTGAATCTTTTCTTGGTCAGTCTTTCAAACCACCCTCAGTTGTATGTCACTGCATGACAATAATTTATGTGTACAAATGAAAGGAAACATATGCGGGGACAGGATAATTACACAAGATAAGATAAGACGTAAGATATACAAAGGTAGGACTGCCTTGATCCAGCCTCTCAGAGAAGTTAGCAAAAGGAGTTCAGTGCAATTTATTCCTTGGGAAAGGAGGACAGTGGGGAAGGCCAGGCAGAGACAGCGGCATGATAAAATGTTCAGAAGAGCAAGAAGGTTCATTTAAGGATGAAAGAATTACAGACTGCAGAGGTGGTTAAATCATGGGAAAAGGAAAGACTGCCATGGTCTAGCTCTCAGTTAACTCTGCACCAACACATTGTTCCTCTCACTGGTACCAATCTGGTCCTTCACATACTTTCCCACAAAGCTGTGAGAAATGCAAGTAACAAGGGGTATGGCTAGAAGACTACAAGCTACAGAGCTGGCACATTTTAGGAAACTGTTTCAGCTAGACCTCAGGTCTCTTCAGATGAGATGCAATGCACAGTGTGAGCTCACGGGTGAACACAGAATAAGCCCACAGTTACTTATGTTCCTTTATCAATGCTGGCCAGCAAAGTCTGCGTCAGTGCTTTAGGCAGATGTTGCTCATCCTGCTGTTGAAGGATTAGGGGAATGAGTACAGGAATGACTAAGACTTTGGTATGTTGGCAAGTGAAGGTTTGAAGGAACCAAGAAGCGTTCCCTGAAAAGGAGGCTGAATTTATTCCCATCATTTCAGAAGAGTCAAGAATTTTCAGAGATTCTCTAATGTAAGTACAAGTCTTTAATGAGAGGAAGGAGTTAGCATGGGAAATGGACATGAGGAGGTAAGTAACTGTAGAGGCTGGTCTATGCTTTCGGTTTCCTGTAACTCCAAAAGATGTGTGAATGCTTGAGGATCTCTCAATGGGAAATCCAAATCCATATCTTTATGAGATCCTGTGCAAGATCAGTCAAGACTTTTTTTCCATTATTCTGTTACAGGCAGCTTATAGGCAACTTGATACATTTACTCAAAGCTCACTTTTGTATTTCTTTGTATTTAGAAATTACACATTGAAAAAAAAAAAAAATCAAACACAAGAGTTTCACTGAATAGGAACTTTTGCTGTAAGTTTTTTGTACCACTCTGTAGATTAGAATAACAACTGCAACACGTTTGCTTAGATTTTAAGGTTTACACACTGATTTCAAAGCACTATTTTGGGTGAGGAAAACAAACCTAGATGAAACACTGCACGTCTATCTATGCATCTGTATCTACATTTTTATATAGAGAGAGAATGTGTATCTGTGCAGCTAAATCATCACAAGAATAGTATAATAAATTTCACCCTGTGTGACACCTTGTAAGTTAATTTAGGTGCAAAAGTCATCACTAGCTCTTAGGCATTAGAAGGCATATATGGAATTAAAGAGATGGTTCTGTGCATAACAAAGAAGTTCTCAGATCACAAGCTATCTAGTGCCCTAACGCCAGTCTAATTAGATAGCTATCTAGTAATTTGAGCTGAAAAAGCAAATACAGTGAAGGAGCAAAAAGACTACTCCCCTGCAAAGCCGGAGGGGTGATTAGTGCTGAAGAGTAATGTCGGTTCAGAGAGGGCATGAGGGGTAAATGTGACAGAGAAAGAATTCTGGACTGAGGAGAGGGAACATTTGACTCTTTTGCTATCTTGAAATTCATTTTAACAAAAAGGAGCAGTAACAAAATAAACTGGTCACTTTCAGAAATTTAAGTTTTGTGAGTTCAGCTCTGACAAAGAAAATACAAACGGAAATTTTCCAACATGAAGTGAAACTCCAGCAAACTAGTATCACTGAAAAGCAATACCTGTGCATATTTAAGGGTTAAGTAGTCCCTTCCACCCCTGCCTATCCTCTCCCACCAAAAAAAATAAAAACACATAGCTCAGAGCTGTTGAATTCCTCCTACCATTGCACGTGGAATATCCATCTGTCCAGGAAGGCTGCTGGTGGAGTAGGTTGCTGCTGGAATTGATACTCATTCTGCCAGCTCCTTCCAAAATCATGATCTGTAAGTGAATTGAACAGCTTGCTTAGTGAGCAGTGTCTAGTCCAAAAGGTAAATGGTAAAAAAAAAAAAATCCACTGAAGGTAAAGTGAGCAAGCCAATTCCATTTGTAGAAGATACAATTGAAATCAAGAACATGTTGCCACAACCCCTTTTCAGCTGCCACAAAATCTCTTTATGATAAACATTACCATGCTTGATTTGCATATGCAAGAAGCAAGTTTCTACAGCTGCCCATCCATAAATGAATAATCCGTAATCAGAAATGAAGCCGAATGAAAAGACAAGGATCCTGACAGAGCAATACAGGAAAACTGCCAAGCTTTGAGAAACGAAAAACAAAGTTGTTTGACTTTTTTTAATTTTTTTTTTTTAGATTTAAAGAGAAAATGTGTTAAAATAGGATTTTTTTTTTATTATTATTATTTTTTTTTAGGAGAAAGAAAAGATTTTTCAATAACTGCAAATTAAACTATACAAGAACTCATGGTAAGAACTCAAGTTGAGAAACTCCTTCACACAGAGGGACCCACGTGTAAATGCTACAGGGAGGTAATGTTACAAGGAATATTTTTTCAGCTTGCTCAGTTTTGGTCAGTTTCTTTCTGATCTGCGTCAACAGCGTCCCTAACCTACTCTCAGCTGCAGATAGCAGAGATCCTACATTTGGAACCACTGAAGAACTGGGCAGTCAAAGATCTCAAAGATGAGACAAATGAGACAAATTTTCCTTTCTACTTATGTTAGCTTTAGCATCATGGGCAAAACTGTTATTTTATTTAGTAAGACATGTTTGAGCAAAATTACTTAGATGGTATTTTAAAAAAATGTCACATATTTATCACACATTAAATCATTTCAGTGAACATAGACAAAGCTCCACAACTACAGGTACTCATGACTTTTTAATTATCTTTCAATGGTTTCAAGCTGCAAGCTTATAAGTACACATTATAACCGCACAGCATGAACATTCTTCAAGAGTTTAGAAAAGTAATTTTTAACTAATACAAAGGTTTCAGAACAGTGCTGTTATAAAACCGCACACAGAACAAACTGTTGTTCAAAACCTTCTAAATCAAAAGCCATGGAGGCTGTAAGAATAAAACTTTTAGAGCTCAGGAGGGCACGTGAAAGTAGCTAGACGTCACTTTGAAATTACAGAGAGGCTGAAATAAAAAAAAAATGCACCTATGAAAGTTTAAAAAGATGGTCTTGGCCTTTTCCCCACTGAGGAGGATGAGAAAACTTCCACTGAGTGCCCTGTCAGACCCTCACAAGCTCATACCAAGAACATTTTTGGTAGAAGAAGTCATTAAGAAGAGTCGCAGCCTTGAAAGAACTGCCTGAAAAAGATTTGGGCTGACACATACCTCCATCATTTGCAATAAATGATGACATTCGTAAAAGTTACTGAAGTGCACACATTTAGGAGAGCCTCTCTACGTCTTTTCCCTGACTCCACATTGATGTACATTTATAAATGGAGAGAGGTTGTTGAGAATCACTGAAAAATCCAAAGCCTTAAGAAATGTGTCACAGGGAATAATCCTTTACAGTATACCCTACTTCAGTGCTTTTTTTTTTTTCTGCTACATAGAATGACATAATGCTTTCTACTCTTAATTCTAACAAATCCGTGATTCAGTGACGACTGGTGAAATTTTTTTCTTATATCAGATATGTGATGTTACAAAATGTCAGCAATTGAGTGATATCTATCGTCCCCCCATGGCTAAAATCCATGGCCAAATAAAAGATGACGGGGTATCAGTCAGTAAGTTTGTGCAAGTTAGAAAAGAAGACTTCTTTAGCCCTGTGTTAAAGTCAAGTGACTTGGTACTCTGAGGTCAGGAAACATTTCATTTTCTTACACTGACTTTGTTCAGCATAAAACATGAATATCATTTATCTCATACGCTTGAGATGGATGCTTTTCAGTGATAATGCATGTTTGAAAGTAAATACATACTCACTCCTCTGAGCAGATACAGACTGAAAGATTTATCAAATTATTTATTTCACTGACTCGTTTTTTAATCATTTAAGAGTTAATTATGTTCTTAAGATTTTATACAAGTGAAGTATTCATGATACAAAACTTATTACATTATCAAATAAAGGTGAGGTAGAATACCAGGTATGCTGGGAAAACCATAAAGCTTGAGGATTAACAGAACTCTCTCAGGAACGTAGTTTGATAAGTTCTCTTCTTTTTAAAAAGTATATTAGGCATTTAATATTGAATTTCAACTGATAGATCTCCAGTCGAATTTTCAGCAGAGATCATCAAGGATTCACACGTGTTATGTCATTTTAAACAGTTTCTACAGTTTATGGAATTCCACACAATTTTAATGCCTGACACTTACTCAAATAAAAATGTCTGAGAAAATGTATGCTTACAATCTGAAATGCTTTCCATGTTCAAGGTCCTGTGTACCTTTGCTCTGAAAACTCTACTACGTAAATTCTTGTTTTATTTTCTTCCTAACTAATCAGATGAATTTCCAAACCAAAAGACACTATGACACTGTGGTTCAGAGACTAAAGCTATAGAAAGTTAAATAAACAAAAAATTAAGTCTTGCATAGTTTCCAGCATAAAGCAGAACACGTCAGAACACCAACTAGACGCACTCTGAAAGCCTTTTCCTTAGATTCTGATTCCTGACATGCTCCCTTGAAATCTTATTCCCCTGTCATAGTCTAGCACACAATTGCTCTTCACAGTATTCCTTACAACATTAATAGTATTTCCAGACAACGTACGTGGAACTTTGCAAATTAATCAATCAGTACATCCTCCTTCTGAAAGCTATACAAATTATTTTAACCAAAAAAACTTATCTTTCCACATCACTTGTGGAAACAGCTGTTCACTAGAAGAAGAAATCATGATACAACAGTAACCACTGGCACAGGACTAGATTCAGCTTTGACCCAAACTTTCCCAAAGTTATGGGTGCTATTCAAGGTACTGGGTTGGGTTTTTTTGTAACTTGAAAATTGCCATGTCACCTCCTGTATCTTAATGCAAGAGCGTTGCTTATTTGGAAATGACTTCCAGCACTTTGTTCAGAGTGAATATAAAGTTCCACTAACATAACTTCCATGAATTTGCTTGGAAGTGTGCACATCATGCTCAAGAATATTTTCTCTATGAAAATGAAATTGTGATTTTCTTCGTTTCATCCAGTATATGCCTTTCTTTGATACGAGTTCATGACAGATTTATGCTTAGAGCAGTGTCTCATCTCATACTTGGAAAGATTTCGAGTCAGGATATTGGAACGGGTGTGCTCTTCATTAGTTTGGGGCCAAATCCTCAAGTCTCCCTTGTGTACAGACAAACCTGGTTAAAGGGTGTGAAGCCTCAAGGGGAAGGACACATAATATGTTCAGTTTTCTTTTAATCGTATGCCATATATCAAAGTGAACGGTGGAACTAATGAAGCCTGGTTTCCTATGAATGTGTATCTTGTGGTTGGATTCTCGAGTGTCTAGTAAGATGTGAGCGCTGATTGAAGTTTTTCCCACGGTTGGGGCATTCATAATATCTCGTTGTCTTAAAGGAGTGAGCTCAAGCTTCACTCCTTCTTTCAGACAGGGTATTAATAGATTTTTCTCCTCCACTTGGCAGCTTGTTTTCATTAATCCTGAAAGAACTTCATATCTTTCAGACTTCTACCCCATATCAAATTTAATTAAAATTGGCAATGGGACTCAAAGACTGTTACAGGCCAATTGCAAAAGCCAACAGACAGAAAAAATAACCACAAAAGCCTCATTTCCTCAGGAAACCATGCTAAAAAGGGATTCTAACTCAGATGAGATGTTGGAAAACAAAATAAAAGTCTTAGGATATGTCTCAGTACTGAATAAGACATGGTACATTACGAGTGAAAGCGCACATGAAATGTTCTGTGTGTATATACATATACATATATGTGTATACACATATTTGCACACATACACTCTTGTGTGTGTGTTGCAGGTATCTGTACACACATTCCTAGTTTTTTCCACTAGAGATGTGACACCTTTGAATTACAATCTTAAAACACTACCAGAAACATGGCACAGTTGTAAGCAGAATCCAACAATGCTCTACTCAAACAGCAAGGTTAAATATAGTTGTGTATTGGTGCTAAGCAGCATTCTTTTCAGAGAGTCCTACTAGAGGGCATGAGTGCACCCAGGAAAAAAAAAAAAAAAAAAAAAAAAAAAAGCTCTTTCACCTACATTTGATATATCAGATGGTATTCAAAGTCCAAAGCCTGAAGGCCTCTCTTAATGAAGCTCTTACTGGAGCCAGGAGGAGCTCGGACCAAGCCACAACCTGGCCACTTTGCAGCCATAAGAGCTCAGTTGTTCTGGTCCTCTCATCTGTCCTGTCTGCCGGACTAATCTGAGTACATGGTGGTACCAGAAACAACCATGGCTGGGCAAGGGAGCAAACCCAGCATTGCAGAAAAACATATTTACAAATCCTTGAACCTTGAACAGTGTATAGCGCACTGTATGCAAATTATTTTATTGCACTACAGGTGTGCTCTGAAAGTAAATTACCCTGATCCCCATTTCCACATTCACCCCAATGAGCCTTAACAGCCAAATAATGGATTTCTCCTTTCTTTGAACTCAAATATTTCAAGAACACCGTGTATTAAATGACAGGAAAATGCTGAACGCAACATGAAAGGAGAACAAGCAATGCAGAGAAAATGAATGAATCCCAAAGAGCTCCAACCACAGCGATTGCACTGACATTGATTTGTACAATTGCTTACATTACAACACTGAACTGAACTAAGGGTCTCATTAATTACAAATATGAGGGGGTGTGGAGCCCATAGGGGAGAGAGGCGTACAGCTTTCTGGTTTGTAATACGCACTCTATGCAAAAGACAAAAAAATATCTAAGGCAAAACTGACTGGAACTATTAAACTATGACTCCACCCGTAAGCTATGCAAAGTCTAAAAGTGACTTCTAGCTGA